CTGGCGCACTCCATATGATTTAAGCTTGGCGAGTAGCAAATTGTAGCAAACTGAATCGAATGCTTTGGAAAGGTCAATAGCCAATACCCCTATGCTTTCTTTCTTGCCCAATGCCGCACGCCAGTCATCAGAGAGCTTCACGAGTGCAGTGTAGCACGAATGACCACGCAAAAAGCCAGACATATTGTCCGAGAATAACGGGGGCAAATGCATGGTAAAGTTGGTTGAACTTAGCGCGTTCGAAAAGTTTAGGTATTGTGGAGAGAACGCTGACTGGGCGATAATTCGATTTTATCGTTACTTCGTCCTTTTTTAAATTGGCGAGACATTACTAAGCTTCCACTGACGTGGCCATTGGCGACAGTAAAAACAGTAGTTGAAGAGTTTGGTCAAGGGTGCGGCAATGCCTACTGCAGCAATCCTTAGAATTTTAGGGGAAAGCCCACCAGGGCCAGTGGATTTCTTGGCATCCAATCTAACCAGTATATCAGCCTCATACGACTGCGAAACATGCTCAAATGAGAATGCAAGACCGTCATGTTTGCCTCTAATCAACGCAACACTGGAGTGACTTTCAAACTCATGTATGGTGCATTCAGTGACTGAATCTGCTGTGATAGGAGTACTAAAGTATTCATTGAATACCATTGCTGGATCTGAAATTAGTTTACCATCGTCGACTAGTGAGATAGAGTAAGTATCATAGCATGCTTTATACCCTGGCAGCAGCGGTTTAATTTTTTTTTTCCAAAAACCGCTAACCGCCCCTTGTGAAGTATCAGAAGCTGCTTATGTGCAGAAGTCCCTGACACCTTTTCTTTTCATCGCAGACACTTTATTCCTTTGTAGTCTGTAAAGGTCCCAATTGGCGTCAGTGGGCGCGCGCCTGAATCTTTTATAAAGACGACTTCTGTGCCTCATTGCCTTTCGTATGCTTGGATTGATCCATGGCAGTTGTTTAAAACGAAGTCGCGCGCGTTTGACAGGTGCGCGGTTGTCAATGACTTGTTGTAATAAAACTGCCCAGCTTATAAACTCTTTATGGTGGCCAATTTACATTATTCTGCATTCTCTTACGTCACACCTACAGACAATAGATTTTATACAAGTAGAAGTGCCGTCATACCTACAGACAATAGTTTTATGCGCTCAGGAATATGCATAACAAAACAATTATTGGATTCGGTTTACGCATGATAGCGATAAATATCAAGGCCTTAGTTTGTGTTGTCCGTCACAGCCTTCGGCTTCTCCAGATAACACAAAACTTTGGCCTTGATCTATATCGCTATCATGCTCAACCTCATCTAATAATTGTTAACTATGAACTCAGTTGATAAACCCAAATTAGCTTTTAGCAAAACTCAACAACCATTTAAATTTCGAGGCTTGTTTAAAGAAACCAATCAAACTGCAGGAAAATGTAAAACAACTTTTCCAATTTTTACGAACCAGCTCAATGCTGGATCAATAAAATATTTGTATATGCAGACTCTAAAATCCTGTATTTGAGCGACTGAATTTTGCGTTTTAAAGCTGATCAATACAATAAATTGGTAACTTAACTTCTTGCCGTGCCATTTTGATCTGAAAACATACTTGTCATTTCAAACCAAACTCGTGGTGCGCGCTCTTTCAAGTTTGAAATCAAGCACACGATTTCAGACCAATTTGTATAGAAAATAATCTTTATCTTTTTTTTAATGCGAAAATTCGCCCCCGTAACTAGACGTTGGTTTTACTCAAATCGTCCGCTTTTAGCCGGAAGAGGTGGGATGAAAAATGAACCCTAACGACTTACACCTGATCCAAAGTCAGTGATCATTTCTTCAGGCAATAAAACAGATAGCAAGGAAATTAAAGTTTTTTGAGAAATTTTAACAGTTTCTTAATTTCCTTTGAACTAATGCGAAATGACCCGTTTTGAGAATAATGGCAACAGAATTTAAAAAGGCTGTAAAGCCGACATCTAAATGAATACCGTAAAGTTTTATAGATTGTTCACTGCAATGTTTGAAAAAGGAAAAATCGAAATGTTTAACTGAGGATATAATGTGCGCTCAAAGCATACAAAAGTATTTAAAAATATAAAAAAATTAACACCTTTGTTTCGCGGATCATATGCATTGCATTGACGCTAAGTTTTCGGTACGTACGCTTTTGATCATGAAAATTTTTCTATTATGGACGAGAATCTAATTTGGTCTTGGTCCTACTGCTGAAATTAGTACTGAAAGTATCTTTCATTAAAACAGTGATTCGTTAGTTGACATTAAAATATCAGTAGTTTATTATTTGTATTTATAAACTTGATACGTTTATACAACCTACTGGAGCTGAGCTACTTTTTCTTTGATCAGTTTTGACTAGAGTGGAATCTAATCATTCTATGTGACATGCAAAATTACCGTGAACTTACAGGAGATTACAAATGACATGTATATGTCTGTCGAGACAGAAAAATGCAGAGGCGGTGAAAATCGAGGTACAAGATTGGCCCAGGGGCTGTGAGTCGATTTCAAGTTAGGGCGGAAGAGCCCCTGGGGACATTGTCTTACAAGATTAGTTCTAAACGGTCGCAGTCGTTCTGGCATCTGATTGGTACCAGAAAATCTTTGTGATTTTCTGCCCAATCAGAGTGAAGTGTGCTTTAGAGTCCTTTCGTGTGTTTTAACACGGACATATACAAGAAGCTCAGTTGCTCGCCATGTTTGTTTGGGCCGTGCGTCGGAGCTTTGCTCGAGGTGAAAGCTTTCAGTCTCAGCAGACAATGTAAGAGAAATCGATCAGATTGTCCGCGAAAATCTTACCGAAAATTATACTGATTACTTTCGCAGGTATCACAAGAGAACGTTTTTAAAAGTTTGTGAGGTTCGTATAAAACATAATGGTTGCAGGCGTCAATATGTCGCTTTAAACGTTAGACGAGATGTAAACTTAAATCTTTCTAGATTCTTTGTATAATTTGCTGTTACTGAAACTTTCCCAGTCCCGTGAAGTTGTTTCGTCGCACGGACCACGCAGGTATGTCGAGTAACTGGCGTTTACGCATCTTTCTTTGCGCGCCAAAATCTAATCTCCTTCGGCTAATTGTTTAGGTAAGGTTCAGGGTTTTTTTACGATAATGAATAATCCGGGTGAAAATGTTTCAGATCGCTGTCGAGTATGGTCTTCTGTTTTTATCATCATTAAGAGAAAAAGAAATCTTTTTGGCGAGTTAATGAAAATATTTGAAGAAGTTTTCAATCAAAAGGTTCTACCAGACGATGGTCATCCGCGTGCAGTTTGGGACACTTGTCGCTATAGAATTGAAACATCCTGGAAACGTAATTGTAACAAAGAGGCATCGATAAAAATCTCTCGCGTGCAGAGTACCCAAACAAGAAAATCGAATTGTTGCTGTTTCCAAGTTTCTACTGGAGAAACATTTGTCAAGGTATGCACAAATGCAATACAACCTATGTTGAAAAAAAAAAAAAAAAGCTAAGCGTGGAAACTTTTGTTTATTAGATGTGGGTAGATGACCCTGTACTAAGCTAAGAATTACCGTGTAAAGCAAACCCACCCTTTCCAACCAATATTTCTTGGTCTTTCGTTTTGTTTTCCCCAATGAGAGCAGCATCGATTCCCAATGATCTAAGGTATTTAACTTGGTCTTCAACAATCCACTGAAAGAGGTGAAATGACAGTGACCAAAAGACTAGAAGAGAATCCGTGGCCTTTCGAGCTCAAGAATTGGACACTCTAGGCCGCAGTTGAAAGATTAAATTCTTTCCAAACTCCGTCGGTAACTGTCCGATATCATCTCTCCTTCCCACGATGTTCTTGATAATACGTTTTTGTTCAGATTTTAATTCGCTAACCGGAAACACAGCTAAGCTTTCTCTAAGCGCTTGCTGGAGGTCGTCCACGAACTTAAAGTGCTACTGAAACGAAATTTTCGTATCTGAAATATTTGCTTTAACCTGTAGTTTTGAATATGCTTATCATCATGAGATAATTTGCTTTGGCCAAAAAGAAGCGAAAGATATCTTTTTTAACCGTTCAAATAAAAAATTTTACACAAAACCACGTCCGGGCCCTGGTACCGAGCGAAATGGATTGATGACGTCACTGGTTGTGTTCACTCCGATAGCGTGGTTTATTTCACTCACTGTTTGTTTGTATTCGGGGGCGAAGGAGCATCTCGTCAGTTGCCGATTAACTAAATAGACTGGTAGAGATTCGTTCTCGGTATCAGTCGGGAATTTTGCTCCCTATCCAGGCGAACCTCTCGCAGATAGCCAAGATGCCGATGTGGCCGCCGATGAATAAGACGAGGATGGCATTTTGCCCGAAATCCTCTTTTTCGGCCTCCCAACATGCAAGCCACACTCCATGCTTTTACCCTTCTTTCACAGAAGTACACAACCAGTGACGTCACAGGGCTGTTTTGGCCGCGCCAAGATGGCCGCCAATTTTGATCTCAGCCGGTCAACTTCGAATGCTCAAAAATGTACTTTCCGGTATGCTTTGGCCCCAAAATAGTACACAGCGTTTGCAAATACCGTTCAAGCTCTATTATATTGCAAAAATCTCGGATATGAAAATTACGTTTCAGTAGCACTTTAACGTTCTCTGCAACCTTGGCCATATTGTGAAAGACTTTGCTACAAACCGAAGGTTAGATTTTGGCGCGCACATAAAGCTACGTAAGCGTAAGCGCAAGTTGCTCGACATACCTGCGTGGCCCGTGTGACGAAACAACCTCACGGGATTGGCAAAGTTTCAGTAACAGCATTTGCATTTAAGGATTTAATGAGAAACATCTGCTTAACCCAAACACAAAGAGAGAAATTAAGATACTTTTTCTTGTTATAACTGAGCTTATTCTCAATTGCAAGTAACACAGCTCACAAGGTTTTTCAGGTTCCCATAGTCCTCTTTGTCTTCGGGATAGGGTGTTATTTTCCTTTCATACTTCGGGGATTATCAGTCAACTCATTCAAGCTAAGACAGCATACAATTCAATTTTCTTTATTGTGCTTAGTGCAAAATAGTTCAAAGCTTAGATTGTCATTTTGGCGTTTTCCTTCACATGACTGAAATTGTGGAGGGCATTCTTCGTCATGGACATCGAGGCAAATATATCGACGAGGCCTGAAACCATCACATTGCGGTGGTCTCCTTGGCTTTTTTGAAAAAATTGTTTCTGCTTCTCATGTCTGGAAAATTAACTTAAGATACGGGGGAATGGATGAGAAATGTCTTGTAAAAATTTCCAAGAGCCTCACATCCCCGAATAGACTTCTTATTAATGTCAGCATATACCATACAGGTGAATACTGCTTTTCGCGGGCGTTGATTGGCTAGTTTGGAGGTGATTAGCAAGCGCTATTCACCTACGAGAGGTCAAAGAATCAAAAGCGCGCGTCCAGAGTTTAATTTACGACCATTTTCGGTATATTCACCTCCACCTCGGTGAATAATTTTATATCATAATAATCTCTTATAATGTGTAGCGCATATTTGGTTATCTCGACTTTAAGAGGCAACCATTAAATTCAGTCACATCTCACGATTTGGAACTGTTTGGTAACCATCATGGCAAGAATATCTAAAAAATTTATTACACAAAGAAAAATCCTGAATTAGCATTTTCATTTGAATTTAGGGATCAAAGAACGTACTGTAATCAAGCTTCACATAAATGCTGGACGAAACTGTCGTGAAATCCTAATCAGTAAAGCATAAACATAACTTATGATTTATTAAGCTGGAGCCAAAATTCAGAACAACACACAAAAAAGCAGAAGAAAAACCAATACAATAACAAGGGACAAGCAATGTAAATTATGCCTACTCAGAATGCCTCCTTCTCCACTATAAGCAACATGATTACGTCAATAAAATACGCTTACTCCCTGATCAGCACTAATTCTTTGAAATTATTACAGAAAGTGACCATAAAACAAGAATTGCGACATAGACCGAGACTGTTGCAGCCTTCAAAGGAGATGAACTTGTGGAAGGCGATACACAGACATCATACTTATCAAAGTCAACTTCTGTAATGCCACAAATTTGTGCTGTTTTGCATTCCTCGTCGCACTGTTCACCACCAGCGCTAACAGAGTTGTACAAGTAATACTTGACAAAGTTGGAGCTGCCTTGAGTTTTGAACGTTTCAACCAGCGAATGAAGAGACTTCGGGCTTACATCTGGAATGCGGAAGGCTTCAGTGACTTTGTATTCTAGTACCCAGTCCGGTTCGGACATCGTGTTGGCCAGTGTTAGGTTGGTAAAGTACTGCCAAACATCCTTGTCAAGATAAAAACGAAACGACCAACGTCGAGGTAAGCTATTTCAATAACATTTGAAGCGATCTCGTGCTGAAAATGTATCAAAAGAGCGTCGACTGCTCAAACCCAGTGCAGTCTCCACTACGCGATTAAAGAGGCAATTAATTTATTCTGAAAACAAATTAGAAAAAAGTAACGTAAAAAGGTAGCGATTGGGTCAGAGAGCGGTAAAGGGGTAAGACTTCGGTTAATTTCTGCCTGGGTTTCATTTTGACCGATAAAAATAGTCTAAAGCCTACTTTTAGGGGGGTGGGGTGAATGAGGGGAGGGCTTAATTCAGCCTTAGATCCCTCATTCAAAATGAAGGAAGTAAAGGCAAGCTTTGGGTGGGTACATGATTCTTCAAGGAGCCACTTCACGGCGTGGTAAGGTGCATCTTTTCAAACGCTGGTCAAAAAAATATGATGAAACTGAAGGACATCGCAAGGTGAAGAGAACTTGGAAACAACGGAAAGAAGTAACCATAGGGACGATGGACAAAAAAGAAACGAGGATAGATAACTCGAGGAGCCGGGACACACTGGAGGGTATCAAAAGATTCCAAACAAATTCAGCCCAAGTTTATATTCAAGATAAAAAGCTTAAACGTAATCTCTTGTTCTTTAATAGTGTCGTAGCCTTAGACCCTTTGTGGAAAGAAGAGCGTCCATTTTGCTACGCCAGGAAATCCGTTTGGTGTAGTCCACTCGACTTACAAGCCACTATTTACATAAAAGCTAATGCTCACAGGGCTCTGATGTAGGTGATCACTATTTCAAAAGGTGTGCTTTGCTTATTACCTTAACGTTCATGGTGCTTCTGTCATACTTATAAAGCCGAATGCCAGGATTATTGTAGCCAACAGTGGGTAGCACTGTCTTCCAAGGCGTTACTGCAGGGCACAAGAAAATGGAACTTGTAGGAATTCCTGAGGAGGAAACGTAGATTTTGCATTAAAGCGAAGTTAAAAAACAAAACAATAACAAAAAAAGTAGAAAAAAAAAGTTTGGAGTAAACAAATTATTAGTCGCAATGAAAACTGGAATCTCATTTCAAGGGGTGATTGCCAGGATCCCATCTGCACTCCTTTAACATTATACATTGAATTTTTTTCTCAGTTTTGAACTGTAAGCCCAATTGATGCGACCCTCGCAAAAGGAAACAAACACAGATAAAAACACAACAAAAGTGGTTGGATAAACGCTCATTTATTCTTGAAAGCAGGTTACAAATACACAACATTACAAGCTAAAATATTAGAGCATTTCAGAAAATATTCTGAGAAGAGATATCAAAAATTCAACATTGTGCAACAGAAAATACATTATATACAATGAAAATATATGAAGTTCATATATTTTGAACTGCTGTATTAGATACATAATGCCAGTCTCATATATTCGAAATTTATGTTTCCGAAACTTTTCTTCCATGGAAAATATTTTGCTTCCAAGCCACCAGGGTAAGGCCAACAGCTAAGAACCTCAGAAGTTTTGAAACATGAGAAGCCATTTGTACCATGCTCATTTGAAAAAATCTAAATTCTGGGTTGCACTGGTGTCCGCGTCGACCATTGACTGGCCATGCTTTACATTTTGTAGAACTGACGTATCTACTAAGTTTATCTCTAATGCGAGGATCGTGCAACATACGTAAGTTTAACTGTCTAACCCATGTCAAGGTTTACGGCCGAGGTTTACAGCCTACAAATACAGGTTACAAATACACAACATTACGAGCTAAAATATTAGAGCATTTCGGAAAATATTCTGAGAAGAGATATCAAACATTCAACATTGTGCAACAGAAAATACATTCAATGCCAGTCTCATATATTCGAAATTTATGTTTCCGAAACTTTTCTTCCCTGGAAAATACATGTCATGGTTTACAGCTGAGGTTTATCGGATATTTACAAGTTAAATTTGCATTTATGTTAGAGCCAATAGAGTCTAAAAAACATGGTTTAATGTAATTTGAGGAGCAAAATGACGAAATAATAATGTTAACCTTTTTGCATTCAAAGGTGGCCAAAAAGTCACTTCCCGCCATAATATTGATTAATTATTGAGAATAACCAGTTGCTGGCGGTGATATTGTGAAAAGGCGGCTGTTCCCTTGATGACCGATCCTCATAAGAACAAAGCCACCCCCCCCCCCCCGCCACATTAGTTTTGGCTGTGAAATGTTCAGCAGGCAACCGTGGACGATACTCTGAAAATTTTGCCTTAGAGTGAAAGAAAACTTTCCGCCTCCCTAAACCAGCGGCTTGCAGTTCGAATTTTTCAGCCCTTAAAGGAGCTCTGGTCTGACCTTTTAGAGCCAAGCAAAAAAACTCGTGCGTCCAAGTTTCTTTGGGTAGGAAGAACACTCCACGTTGCCTTTGTTTGGACGACCGATGGTTTGGCTGTTGGAAAGTGGACGTGAGGACGGCAGGAGATATCTTGTATGGGCTGTAAATGTTACGAAAGTCGTTTAGAATGGCGTTCGAGGATTGTCTCACTCGCTGTAGTTCTTCACGGGACTCCTTCGCTTCCCCCTCGTTAACCGACTCGGTCAACAAAGTCGTGACTTCTCTCAGAAGCCTTATTGCCTTCTGACTTTTGTTCGCCTTCTCTCCATCTTCAGCTTCTTCATGGTCCCTCTTTCTACCTTCCTCCGCCATTTCCATATAAACCAAGACGTCGGACTTGGTAATTATGAATATAAATTACAAAAGACGGGAGTTTTCCCGTCCCAGGGTTTCTCGTTACTTTCTTACTGCGATGCCCAGTCCATCAGCCGAACATTGTTCAGAGAAGATCGAATTAGAAAACATAATTTAGAAAATCAAAACATAATTTAGCAGGTCATATCGAACAACAGAATGTAAAAATTCGGCTGCAGGGAAGATAAATGTCGAAAATGAAAAATATAATTTAGACAATCAAAACATAATTCGGCAGCGTCCGAATATAATTCAGAGCTACGTAATAACAAAAATCGTATCACAATTATTCAATTTAAAAGAGCCGAACATAATTCCATGCAACGCTGGAACATAATTCTGTAGTTCGGCCAAATGAAATATCAAACATCATAACATCATCTGTTTTCTAATTTTGACCCTAATAACGCTTCATACTCCTAACGCAACTCTAACTTGTTATCAGTTGACTGTTGTGGGGTTGGGGGAGGGGTCGGTACGCAGTCGGTCAGACACGGACTTTAATCTGGAACTTTCCACAGTTTGACTTTGTGCTAATGTTTGAAAACCTCGCTTTCAGCCAGGCCATTGTCGGAAAATATTTAACCAGTGATAAAGAATCTAGCTCATTTTCAGCAGCTGGGTATTACCTTTGCAGTCGTAGAGAATTTTAAAGCTGTCGCAATGCTGATGAGCAAGAAAATGGCCGGTGATGACATCAGCATGCTTCATGATGGCGGCGAGGTAATCTTTGTTGAACTTGGGATAAAACCACTTCTTTCCTGGAGCTCGCTCAAAAGCACCAGGCGGAACATGACCTATAATGAACACCTGAAAAACAATGATTTCCCATATTGATAAAATTAAATGTAGAAAGAAGTTATGCGATTGATCAAAGCAAGGCCGGGAAGAAGAGAGTTGTCGACTGACTTACGAATTGACGGGCTAAATGACTGGCGGACGACGAATTTCTGAAAAATTTACTAAGATGAGAGGAGCTTTGAATATCTTGATAGACAAAGATCTCCGCTGAATACACACCTTCTCGTTATTGCGACTTGCATTAGTGAGCAAAACGTCTAGCCACTCAAACTGGCCGGCAGGATCAGCGATACTCTCTGTTAGCTTGTCGTTTGTATAGTAATACACAGTATTCAGACTGACTAAACGCAAGCCAGGCTTAATGAGAACTGTGTAAAATCCGCCTAAAGAAAAACAGAAACGGTTTTCATTGATTTTCTGTACCTTTAATTATTTCACACTATTGTTCCAGAAAAAACTGATGGTATTCGCAAAATTGCCGCTTCATTTTAGATGACGCTTTTATTGTAAGATGGAAGAACAATCATATCATAGTTTTGTTTGCTTGTTTCGTGGTAGAATAGAGCTTCATTTTTGCATGAAGACAAGCATTGAAATGAAAATGGCTACAATTCTTTCCAATCACGCAATTGGTGCAGATGAGCTCATGGAGAAGCGACAGTTTGAGTGAGAATTAAAAAGCTCTCTTGCGTTACAGAGCACGATAATCTGAGCCTTTTATGGGTGTTCCATATCCATGCTAACAATCGTCTAGAACAAAATAATTCGCTCACATGCATATAGAAGCACTTCCATGGAATAAGAGCTTCTCTGCATTCTATAACACAGACAATTCTACGAAAGGTTCCTAAATTATTTTTATTAAAAAGTGGAAGGATGAGAGCGTCTGTGTCGCTCTACTCGTGAGTACCACTCACCTTCCTTAAAAGTGTTCACCGCATCGTGAGGGAGCCATCGGCTCCATAAATTACCGACTGCCCGGTAAATGTCATTCGGTTTGGGTGGCATCAGGTGCTTCGGATGGTAGTCGTGGTTGCCGAGGGCCGGATAAACCGTCGTGTTTGGAAAAGCAGCGCTTAGTAGGTCGGTTAGGTTCTTTACGGTTTCTATCACTTCTTCTGTACTCAGTTGGCTGTTTGGAACGTGTGGCATGTCATCACTGAGGATCAAAGTACATAAGGGACCCGTCATTACTTTTGGTCAAGGGGGGAAGTGCTCCGGTGGATTTAGGTCGCGTCACAGTAAAATTTTCTTAATTTTCCTCCTTTCCCCTCCCCAAGGCTCTGTAGTATTCTTATGATCCCCCTCATAAGTAGTCAATTTTCTATAGTCCCCCCCCCTTTACACTCTGTTTAGCAACAACTGATCTCCCTTCTGTTCCCCTTGAAACCATGTGACCCCCAAATACTCCACCCCCTCCCTCCTCCCACCTGCGAAAAATAATAACCAGTCCCTAAAAGAGAAATTTAAGAAATTGAAAACTTACAGAACAATATCAAAAACCAACTGCACTATATACGCGTCATTCCTCTGAAAAACGAGGTCGATTTTCTGTCGCCTGTTTACTTGTTTGCGTCAACGACTGAGATCCTGCCACAGGTAAACTTGCAACCGACTACTAATAATGCAATTCCGAAGAGAACTCGAAACTTTCGGAACCTTTCTAAGCGACCACCTTTCATCCCTGATTTTTAAAACACCTCGTTCATCTATCAGGGCGTCTACTTCACAAAATCATTCTGACTTCAATACTGTTTCCTACCGGAAATATCGCTTTTCGAAGTAATCAGCTACAACGTCTTAATGGGGTTATGGCCTTTATGGCTCACGGTTAAAAGTTTGGCGATTTTACGACTAACGATTAATTTCTTACCGTCAAAGTTAACAGAAATATTAATTGTTTTTACTTGTACCAATTTTACGACTAACGGTTAAAATTCGCCCAGCTGCAGAATTTTTTTGCCGTTTTACGGCAAATGGTTAACCCTATTGAGATCCTTTAAATAGCTTACCCTGTCCAAATGATGAAATCTGGATTTGGTTCGATGCTCTTCATTGCATATACTGATGAGTTTATAAGTCTCCAAGGAGAATCGCAAAGATAGTTTCCCCATTTACCAGCGTGGCTAGGAGTCTGGCTGAAAGGGGTCTGGGAATTACATATTTTTCCAGGGTCCGTGGGAGACTGGTACGTTTTGTCATAGTGGAAATCTGTCACTTGCCAAAAACTTCCTGTAAAAGAGACGTGGATAACACAAATATTTATGAGATGTCGTTCCTTTCAGTATTGATTCATCATTTGTGCTGCGTGACTCTAAGTTGGTGTTGCGTGACACTTTCGCTTTGATCGCGATTGTCTTTCCTCTTGTCACTGTATCTGTTTTTACATCCTTTGAGAATCGAATAAAGATATTCTGGATGATCTTACTTGTGCAAAGCTGCTTGCGACAGCTCATTTTCACAAGTCGGTTTCATTTGCCAGAACTGGCGAATTTCAAAATCGATTTATCATTTGATCTAAGCTGACGGATAGAATTGGGAATATTCAAGACAATGCATGATGTCAAAGACGTGATCATTGCTCGAGGGTGAATCTGTCGTTTCATAAATTCGTTAATATTCAATTAAAGCTACCACACCGTGCTACTTTAATTTGTCTCCAACACTGGACCCTTAAAAGTCCTCTAAAGGTAAAATGTCTACACATGTCCCTAAATAACCAAGTTCGTACAGACTCGCGCGCGGTTGCAGATTGATTGCTAAGTGTTTATTCGACTACAAATAGGACAGCAAGATCCAAATTTCAATTAGACTGAATGATCTGCTTCTTACGATTGAATGCCGTCTGATAAATTTTATGCAGTGTGAATACCAGAAAATTACAGTGTAATTAATGTCTATTATATAGTTTAAATCAAATACAATACTTAGCAAAACATGGTGGTTACCTTTCTCCAGTAAGACAGGCTTAAACAGAGAAAACAACACTACAATGAGTAGCACCTTCTCCATGGTTTTCACCAATAAAAAACGTTGCAACTTATCTTTCGCACTTCCGCTTCGGATGGCCTGATTGTGCTTGCTTTGACGAGCCCTCCGCTGTTGTGATGATTATAAATTCACATCCGGCACTACTTGTTGTTTCTGTTCACCGTCCGTCTCGCCAATGACTGAAATCAATTTCGTGAAAAATCAACCACTAATTGTGTTTCGGGTTCGTTTCTTCGAGTCTTAGACGTCTGATACCTACTTTTCGTTTAATCTAGAACGTCATCGATTGGGTTTGAGTAACGTAGGCGTACCAGTAGCCGCTGTCTGGTTTCGTCACACAATACTTAAGGAGAGGGTGTATTCATCGCGTGACTAAACACCGGCCAAGAGTAGATTTTTTAAGCCGTCTATCAGAGTTCTATAGGGTTAACGAATCAGCTATTAAAGGTTTGCTTTAACAAAAAATATCTGGATATTTCTATGTAGGAGGCGTTTTCGTGTTTTCTCCTTTCTTTATTTAAAGTAATGACATCAAGATTACCAAAACGCATTGCGCTATCCAGCGCACAGAGATTTATCTAATGGATAGCGTTATCAACCCTTCGAACAAATGACTGCAAGTTTGTGTGTTGGTGTTCTAGATAGGTAAGACACGACTTTCTCGCTCAGAGTGTCAGCCGGTGCCTCATAATGAAGGTCTCCAAATCACCCTTGGTATTTCTAATTGCTTCATAGTGTCGTTCTGTTCAATGGCCGGAAAGTATTAAATCACATCTCAGTCCATACTGAGAAATTGTGCACGCGCATTTCCCACTGATTCGCTTCATTATTTCACAGACTTAACATCAAACTCTCTTGAAAATGTTTACCCCCATTCTAGCTTTACCAAAATCCTTCAGGCATAGAAATGTGGTCACACTTATATTGTTTTCTTGGTTATATTAATCTTAAGTTCCTTCGCTTGAACAAATAAACTTGGCACTATATATACTGGTATTTCGTTCTATTCGATACTTAAATATGGCAACCCTGTATGTGACATTCAGTTGGAAGTAGGTCAACAAGGTTAAATCACTTTTTAGATCGTTTACATTAACATTTTTAGTTTAAAAGAAGGTAAAACCGATTTCGTTAAAAAAAATAATAAATTAACATTACAGCAAACTCCACCGTGTGTGGGATTAAAAACACACCAGCCTACTGAAACTCCTCTTTCGGTTTGTTTACAAAAGACTGTTTATTCTGTGTAACTGATAAATTAAAACCACAAGTTTCTGATCCACAGTTCATTTCTCTGGCCAGCATCAGCGCGCACTTAGTGGAGATATCTTCAGTGCAGTTTGTTAAATAGAATCTTCTATGGACAAAATCTCAATTCTGATTTTATATAGGTCTAATATGTCTGCTTCATACCAACAAATTCAGCTCCTAAAATATGTTCAAAACTGACATTCGTCATCTTCGAGAAACCTATAAGGATCTGTGATTGGTATTGCAGTGGTTGAATTACGACTATTAGAATGAGAAGAATCACTTCTACAAGCATCAGACGATGCTTGGTCCGATTTTGTATGAGTACAACCGGTGGACGTAGATCTCAGTGCTTGAGGAGGGAGGTATGTTGGGTTTTTTCCATCCGACTGGGCAGAATTGACAGAAACAGATCTAATGGCTTGAGGAGGAAGATATGTGGGGTTGTTTCCACCAGTCTGGGCAGAACATGCGGACACAGATCCCACTGCCTGAGGAGGAAGATATGTTGGGTTGTTCCCAACTGCGCCAGTCACTTGCGCCCTTGCATTTTGGTGCCCAGTATTTTCCGTAGTATTCTGATCACTTGGTGCCCACTGGGAAGGATCGGGTCCACTTGCGTCTGACGAGTGTTCATGGTCACTAGTGTCTGGTGTAGGCTGATCGCTAACTGCTTGGTGAATAGGAGGATACGGTGGATTGTTTACACCTGCGCCTGGCGGGTTCCTCAAATGACCCGCGTGTGGTTTACACTGATCGTCAACTGCTTGGTGAATAGGAGGATACGGCGGATTGTTTACACCTACGCCTGGCGAGTTCCTCAAATGACCCGCGTGTGGTTTACACTGATCGTCAACTGCCTGATGAATGGGAGGGTATGAAGGATTCTTTTCTCGCAAATTTGAGGAGTGTTCCTCCCGTGAGGGTCGTTTATCTGTATCTTCTGATGTGGGTTGATCTCTGACCGCTCGGTAGATTGGAGGATACTGTGCATTGTTTGTACCTGCACCTGATGAGTGTTCTTGGCGAGCAGTGCTTGTTATGCGTTGATCGGTAATTGCCTGATGAATGGAAGGGTATAATGGATTTTCTTCTCCTCCATCAGGAGACTGTTCCGCACGAGAGGGTTGTTGATCTACGTCTTCTGATGTGGGTTGATCTCTAACCGCCTTTTGAATTGGAGGATACTGTGGATTGTCTCCTACTGCACCTGATGAGTGTCCTTGCCCACCACTGTGTGTTGTGCATTGATCGCTTATTGCCTGGTGAATGGAAGGGTATGACGGATTATTTTCTCTGCCAACTGAGGCGGGTTTTTCCTTAAAATTTTGCTGACCCATGTCCTCTGGGGTAAGTTCATCTCTGACTGCTCGATGAATTGAAGGATACTGTGGATTGTTTGCACCTGCACCTGATAAGTGTTCGTGCTGACCGTTGTCTATTGTACCTTGAACGTCAACTTTCTGGTGAATGGAAGGATAAGATGGATTCCTTTCTTCTCCACTTGAGGGGGGTTCCTCCTTGAAGAGTGGTGGTCCCGTGTCCTCTGGTGTAGTTTGATCTCTTACCGCTCGGTGAATTGGAGGATAAGGTGGATTGTTTCTACTTGCTCCTGATGAGTGTTCGTGTTGACCAGTATCTGGGGTGCCTTGATTGCTAACTGCCTGGTGAATAGAAGGATAAGATGGATTCCTTTCTTCTCCAGCTGAGGGGGGTTCTTCCTGGAATAGTAGCTGTCCCGTGTCCTCTGGTTTAGTGTGATCTCCAACCGCCTGGTGAATTGGAGGATAAGGTGGATTGCTTCCACTTAAGCATGATGAGGGCTCCTTTGCACTACTATCTGATGTGCTTTGATGGATAACTGCCTGATAAATAGAAGGGTATGATTGGCTCTTTTCTCCGCCATCTCGTGACAGTTCCTCCTTAAAGGGTCGCTCACTTTTGGCCTCTGGAGTTGGTTGATCTCTGACCGCTCGATGAATCGGAGGATACTGTGGATTGTTTCCACCCGCACTTGACGAGTGTTCTGGCTGCCCAGTGACAGTTTCGTCCGGAATAGGTTGATCGTTTACTGCTTCATGAACAGGAGGGTAGGGTGGGTTGCTTGTTCCTGGAAAATTTTCCGTCTGAAGTTGTTGATCAGTACGTTCTTGAGTAGTTTGATCCCTCTCCGCTTGAGAAAGAGGAGAATACGCTGGATTATAATCAAATACCGCAACCGAAGAACATTCGTGTTGAAACTGCTCGTTACTATTCGGCGGTGGGAGATTATAAGCCGCTTGAGGTAAAGCAGGATACACGATATTGTTCCTAGTCGAAGGGTCTGACTGTTGTTCTTTATGTTTTCGATCAGTGTTCATTAAACTGGTACTTGAATTTGCCAAAGGGCGTGCCTGAAAGCCTGTACGATCGTCCAAAGAATGTCGTACAGGCTGGAAACTAGAGTTCTCCTCAGGTTGGCGACAAGACAAATTTCCATTATTGACTGGATGATCAATTGCTGAGGATGGTGTACCGTTGATACTATGCCCAAACGAGAACGGCATTATTCTATTTACCCCTATCTTTTCAGTAGCACAGTCCTGACCATTTATTGTAGAAACCACTAGCAGCTGCAGCAAGTTACCGCCAGAGGTACCAGCTTCCTTTCGTAGCTGCTGAAGGTATCTCTGGGTAAATGCTAAGTGATATTCGATTTCCCCAATGATTGCAGGCTGTAAGAACACCGTGTTGCTTCTTAGCTTTGCAAACTTCAGCGTCAATGTCCCTGGTGTGGTGTGCCCAACCTTAAAGGTTTAAAGGAAAAATTAAAGGAAAACAAAGAATAAACGATTACACTCGCCATTTAAAGATCACAAAGTCATCCTACACTGTACATTGTATGCACGGTAATTCTTACAAATAAATTGTCATGGGAATTTAGGAAATTTGCAATCAAACTACATGCATGTAAAGGTAATTCCCCAGCAAATATGTTAACAACGTGCGTGTGTACCGAAAAAGAAAAGGGGAATTAATGTTTTTTATTTAGATTCATAATCTTTGCATTTTTCTGTTGGAAGTAATGCAATTATTTCGAGGATGCAATTATTTCGAGGATGCAATTATTTCGAGGATTCGTCGCTCCGACGAAGGGCTAACGCTCGAAACGTCAGCTTTTATAATCGTAACGGTGGCCAATTTACCATTTCAACTTTGTTGACATATTCAAATTATTTCGAGGATGGACTGGCTGTAAAGTCAATTTTGCTCATTTTCACCAAAAACAATTTCCTTAGCAGTAACTGACAGCCCGCTCATTTTCTGTGAGTTAATCGTAGTATACCCACTTCAATTCAAACAAACCGATATTCTGACTACATAAATATTGTGATAATTCACCTGAAAAAACATTTCTCCAACCTCCAGATGGTTTAATGGTGCAGATAGATGAAGAATAACTCTGCCATCCTTGACTACAGGAAACCCCTATGTAAAAGAGAAAGTACAAAAACAACAAGCCTTTATTTCATCTCGAATTTAAAATTGCAAAAAAACATGCTAATATCTCCGAGAAATACAAATGAAGTACAAAGTACAAATGAAACTGCACTTGTATGACACAGCTATGCAGTAAAATTGGTATTTCTTTAGCCAATATAACCCCTTCCCACCTAATTTTGCCAGCCGTGCTGGAGCTGACACAAAGAAATGATCTTTAAGATTATATGCTGATACATGCAAGTAGAAAGGGTAAAGAGATATTTTCCTGTTTGGAGCCTCTGGTCTTTCTCAATAATATGAAAGCTAAATTAAAACCTCACTCTATAGAGATTCCTCTTTTGTCAGAATCTGTAAAAATGGAACGCCTGAGGAGATAACATAACTGAGAGCCGAAAAGGAACTACTGTCTTTTGTTAAAAAACTAAAATCTTTCTTTTACCCAGGTCTTCGCACAGTTTTCAATCAAGATAACATCTGTTCTTTTAAAATACTTTGAATGTGTAAAATGTTGTCATCTCAATGTTCTCAATTCTTGTACATGTTAATCAACTAGTTTTTTTGTTCCTCTTTCGTTAATGATTATATATTTTGTTATTTCTTAGCATGGGGGCTTGTAAGTGGGTTGGGTTTCAATTTTGTCTGTTTCTAGGGGATAGGGAAAGGTAATTTACCTTGTAGAGGACAACCTTGTCCTATTGTAGATTTACCTGCCTTAAAATGGTAAATTGTTAAATAATAATAATAACTAAACAATAATTTGCCAATGTCTACCTTTTCATGTAAAACCTGACAGACTCAGTTGGAGGAAATCTTAATTCTACAACAGCCCATGTCTGCATAACCACACCCAATAAATCAATTTGTTTAAGCATGTGAAGGTGTCTTCCTTAACCCATTAACTCCAACCCAGATGTGATAAAAGTGTTATTTCTCCATTCAATTCCAAAATGATATCTTGCAAATAGGTAATGAGAGCATAAAAGCCTTTCATTTAATGGGTGTATTTTATCTTGATATAGAACCAAATTCTACCCTCTAGAACTAGGTGTGCCAGTCAGAAGGGAGAATCTCTCATTGGATGTTGGGAGCTACAAGGTAAAGCCTTTGTCAGTGGCAGCTGTGATAAATAACCTTCACACAATCAGTGAAATGTATACAATCTGTGGCGAAGGTTATCCAAACAAAACAAAACTTGGGCAACGAGTGAGAACAGCAAAAGGTTTTAATTAGCGATCGGAAAACTACACGATCACACAACAAGATGGCATGTCAGGCGAGCACATGTTTCTGTCTCTAAACTGTGGGGGACTTACTTCTATTTTGGTAGAATCCGCTGGCTAACGGGCAGTTGGCAACACAATCCAGAGAATTACATATCTATATAATATATATCTATTCACCTCAGCTTTAAGTTGCTCCAGTAGTAATGTAGTTGGTCTGAGAAATTTTTCAACAAAGCTCTTAGGTGACCCATCAAACTTCTGATTTAATAATTCCCTCAGGCTTTCTTGAACCCTATTGCTACAAGGGTAACTGTTTCCATAGTGAACTGCAAGGGCATGTTGTGCAGTTGTAAGAGTGTCCTGGAAATCAAGAATGATTTTTTTCTCACTGAAAAACACTTAAATATTCTCCCAGGTGAATATACAGTTATAAAGTCCTCCCAATGAAATTTCACATTGACATACATCTCCAAAAGTTTGGGGAAGTCACATTAGACAAAAATAGCCAAAGTAAATAGTAATCATAAAGATATGAGAAAAAAAATTAATTATTATTATAATAATGAGCAAAACAAATTTACAAAAAAGGAAAAAAAAGGTATTAAAAACAACCACTTTCCATTCACTGATTGCTAAATGCACCAGATTAGATGACTATGTGGCTGCATAATACTGTAATTCATTTACTGAGAAAAAATCATCTTAAAGATAATGTTTTTTGGCTTAAACGATACTCACTCCTCAAAGATTATAGCAGTGCATATAAATTTCTTCATTACATTGCAAAATTGAGACCAATCTTAGCATTTGCTCATTGGACTGAATAAAAAAGCTAGAATACACCTTTTTTTCTCCAGGATGTTCATCACATCCCTAATCTTGGTTATTTGTCCATCAAATGCATCAATTTATACCTTGGATGACATATATTGTGGTTCCCAACAGCCCATATTGATTCCTATCACTTTTGAATATTTCCCTTGCAAGTTTCTCATAAATTTTTGTATCAAATTCCCAAATATCCTGTTCTAGACATCCCCAAGCATCCATTTCACTCCCAAAAGTGATTGGGAAGTAAGTTTTCCTAATGGAGTCCCTTCATTAGCAATGCAGGCAATAAGAGTACATGTACTTCAACTCATCAGATATATATCCTGATCTTGATCCAACGCCAAATTTGCGAAACTAATTTATAAGAAAATATGTTGCAGCTTAAGAGAGGAATTAACAGTCAGATCTTGGGAGTGAAAGTGTTGACAGATGTACACTAAAAGATTTCAAAATCAACAGACCCCAAAGTTAATATTTATAACTATTACATTTCATATTTCCGGTCTCCTTTAGTGCATCAAATATTTTTGCTTTGCTTTCAACTCATTTGGTTTCTTCAAGTAACCTTTCTTGGACGATCACAGGTTCCTCACTCGTTTCATTTAATTCATGAATAGAATTTCACGGTGAACTATTCTCACGGCTCCTCAAACAGAGTTGTATGCACAAGCATAAGCAGTTATTCTATCACAACACGTATATGAGCTAAAACAGCCTGTCTCTTCGCATTTTCATATAACAATGCACTGAACGATCGCTAGGATAAGAAACCGCTGCATATTGAGTAAGACATTACGTCCCATGTTTGCCGCGGCAGTTTAGAAATTCTTTGCACTCGATTTGCACTTCCACATTCACTGATGAAGTTACATAAGGTCTTTCCTCACCTCTACAGTATGTGAAGCGAAAGCCATATTAGAAATATCCACAAGTTCACCTTCTACGACTTCTAATTTCAGTTTCGATTATACGACAACTCTGACGAGCCACTTCCGCAAAACCGACTGACGTAATTTCAAACCCAAACTCTGGAACTGGATCGGACTCGCCCCCATTTTTCCAGACTGGACTGGATAGAAATCAGTGGAAATGGTATCCTATCTTTTCGTGCAGACGTTTAAAATCTCTCTTCTTTTAGTTTTATTCTCCATCATACAGTGAAACCCAAAACATGCTACTTTTGATTCAGTGAAACCCTAAACATGCTACTTTTGATTCAATTTCGCGATCCTGGGGGTCATAAACACATTGTCGAGACACTACAGGTGAGTTTATCATGCATAGGATTTATGGTAATAAGTTGTCTTCAGATCATGTCAATGATATAAGCATTGGTCAAACAAAACTTTGAACTAAAAACTAACACTACTATGTGGTGAAAGGATAATGTAACCGATAGTACAATTGGAATGGTCCAAAAATAAGCTGGAATGGGCAAGTCTCCATTTCATTCTTAATTGAACTTTATTATAAAGAAATCTGAGTTTTCTAAACAACAGAAAGTACCCTTTGCCCCTTTTGCCCAACCATTTCTTTACAAGGTTATCCTACTCTATTTCTGTTCAGACTCATGAACAATCATCAACCTTTTTGAGCTTTTATTTTTGAGTTGTTTCTTGAGTGGATCACTGTTGTATTCCACTTGTACCAGGAAAGAAAGCTTCGAGTTCACCCATAGAAAGACACTAAGTGATCTGGCTTCGAACTAGGTATTTCTATCATTTTCTTCATCCCAGAGTGTGATGTATTGATCTGCTCGCAGTTGCTCTAGTCCTGGCAGCCCTTGATCCGGGTACTCTGCGTCAATGCCGTATCCAGTTACGTACACCTTTGTGTCTGAAGGCTGCAAAAGATGGAAGATAATGTTTAGATACGGAAAAATGGTCAACGCAGTCATAGCTTTACTGCAACCGTTCTACTTAAAGCTAACTAACATGGATGCAATGGTGGTTATTTTCGATAAGAGACAATGTCTCTCTTGGTTTTTGAGCTGTCACCCAATATTTCACACCTTTTACTAATACGTAATTTAGGATCTTGGGCAGAAAGTTCATAATGGGCATGAACATAACCTAGTTTCTTCCGGCGCCACCACTGGAATTCGGACCATCCAACACAGAGGCTAGCACAGAGGGAAATGATCGACCAGTTCTACATTTCGGAAAAGACGACAAAGCAGTACCTAGGTGTTCCCAAGGAAACCCTTGCACATGAAGAGAATTTATCCATGGTTCATAGTTTTCAGAGTCACCGAGCAAAAATGAAACTTTTGCTCGAACTGAAGGTATTTTCACATTTTCTCTCAATCACGGGGTCAAAGTTCCACTTGACACGGACAAGACTCTGGATAAGACTCGTAAATATAATACAGCAACATGTCTTCACCTCCACACCTCAAGATAAGGATCGTCTCATGCTCGTACCCAGTCTCACGACTATTTTATGGAGCGACCTGCTATAGCTTAACAGGTTAAAATCAAGATAAATTTTTATTTTTAATGTTTTGAAAAGTAAAGCAAAAATGAAAAAAACATCTACGTTAGCCCTTTTACACACTAGTAAAAATAATATTTTTGTGCCAACAATAGAGGCATAAGAAACTTTAAAAAAGAAAAAATAATTTAAAAGTTGCTTACTTGAATTTTCGTCACGTATTCAACAACCTCTGCGAACTAAAACAAAAGAGAAATGCTTAATGAGAGTCGGTGAATGGGCTTTTTATCTTCAAAAGACCTCTTGAAGTTGGTCCCTCCCCGAAAGGTCTGTTAAGGTAACCGATGAGGACGAGATTCCCTTTGTCATCATTTCTCTTACCTCATTAATTAGATCCATTGCGTTAAAACCATGGGAAAAAATGTAAGCAGCTTAAACTAAAAGCAACATTTATATCGACAAACACATTTTCAACGATTCTACAGATTCTGCTTACTCCGATCAAAAGGCTTTGCATAAGGCTCTCCAATTTGCCTTAACAAGATCCGTGTTGTTTAGTTGGAAATTTTTCAGTTTTGAAAAGGCCAGTGTTGGCATTTTCGCCGTTTCTTGGTTCATATTAACAAAATTATAACTTTCCTTTAAACAACTGAAAGATAAAGTACCCACCGAAGCGTGTTCTTTGGTGCCATTATCCCTTGCGTCAACTATCACGGTGGAGGCCTGAAAGAAAAACTCGAACACGTCCTCCTTGAAACCAGAGTCTACACAGTAACCAAGAATAGGTTCCTCTTTGAAGTAAAGCACAAATCCTATGGATAAAAACTTTAAATGAAAACACAGTCTTATGTGCCTCTACGACTTGAAATATCAGAGATGATACGCGGGTTAGAGTATCAGAAGAGATCGGCACTTTTAAATAAACTCATTTCGCTTGTAATGCATTGGCTGACATTTCATTTCCCTCCAACTTATTTCTATTCCAGTGGGGAGATTTGAGGATTAAGCTGGCTTTTTCTGAAAGTACAACACCACGACCTAACCCACTTCTCGAAAGGGAACTGTTCATTCTACAGTGTGACTTATAATGTCTTTCGCCATCTTGTATTAAAGCATACTATTAGAGTGTTCACTTGTCGAAAATCTCGATTATTCTGGTAAAAGCTCAATTATACCATAACAGATTTCGCTATGAAGCGTCCTGTAAGTTTTAATAGAAAACTGTTTGTCATCATCCAAATAGGTTGGGCCTCCATTTTGTTCACACGCCAACCAATCTGCCGCTTGTTCCTGCACGGAAGAACAAGAAAAATACCATTTAATTTCTTTCAGTGTTTCATACGTTGCTTCAACTTAGCTGATGCAATAGAAAATTCTTCAGAAAGTGAGCTCTGATGCACTTACTTAACCCCTCTATCAGAATTTAAACAAATGAATGTATTTCGATAGATATCTTTGTGGTGGTTCTTTGATGTTCTTTGTTGGCGACTGGTTTTTTAAAAAGGCATGTTCTTGCTATTGCAATAGAAACACTGCTAAAGGATTTAAGCTTGAAACAAACTATTAAACATGGATGACAGAGCCATGTGGACGCTTCAGAACTTTTCCTAGACATCTTAGAATTTTTTTCCTCCGAAGAAAGAGATCACAAAGAAAAGTCAGTTTTATTCATTTCACTTCATTTGTGATGCATGCTCTCGATGGAGTACAATAGTAATCTATGACTTACTGGTGTATATAAACTGAGCATCTCGTCCAATCTGTGTATCTTCAGTTTATGTTGAACCTCAGGGCCAGACAAAACCCTCAGGCGAGGTTCACGAGCCAAATATCTCCGCATGCTCTCGAATGCAAACAGCAAAGGCAGCTCACCAGCATGATCCAGGTGGTTGTGCGTGATAAAAACATTCCTTGGAAATTCGTTGTAAGCTGAAAATGCAAAATAAGGGCGTCTAGATTTAACTGCCTTTGGTTTTCAGTTCATAAAACTAAACTTTCGGAGATGGTTTGCAGCTGAAGACTTAATGCAAACGGAGTTAAAAAAAAAACAACAACAATAAAAACCCAAAAAAATAACATAAAAAGAAACAAACAAACAGTTACAAAGTAAATATTGAGAGTTGTACTGACCAAGCCTCTCTCTACAAGCTTTAACGACGCCGGCTCCAACATCCACCATAAGCAAAGGTTTCCCTCTGTGAAACACAATTGCGGAGGAGCTTGGCTGTCCATGAAGGACGGCTGAAATCAGTTTCAAATACTTTATGAGTTTTACAACAGTGCATTATTTTCTATGTTCCCTTTTGAAGGATTTACGTCTAAAACAGAGGAGGTGGGGGAAGTGAGAGCTGGTAATTACACTGCAAGAGGTTTGGTATTTGTGATCACCATTTTTTTGATCCTTCAGTGTCAGTCACCTGATAAATCGTTAATGCTGTGATCTATATACTAGTATTAGCTATGATGATGATTATCATGCCGCAAACTGAGCAGAATAATCTAACAAAGGCAATTTTGCGAGGTCAAACAGAAGAGACCGCGAGAACTCAGTAGTAAGACATGCTTCTTCATGAGTGAATACATTGTAGATGTTGTAGGTCAATTTGTTCTTTAGGTAAATTTGTTTCAAACTAGGTTAATTTGATCTCAACCTAGGTCAGTTGCTGATGTCTGTCTGTCTGTTTTTTTTTTTTTTTTTGGCTGTGTTGAGATGTCTGGAACCTATAATTTTATTAAAACAATTATTCGTCTCAGGTTCCAGACATCTCAACACAGCCAAACAAAAAAACAGACAGACAGACATCAGCAACTGACCTTGGTTGAGATCAAATTAAGCAAGTTTGAAACAAATTTACATAAAGAACAAATTGACCCACAACATAGATACCCAGAAAAGACAACGGTACATTTATAGTCATAGGATCTAGGAGTAGAATGGTGGAGATGGGGGTGGAAATCATAACTGTCTAGGCTGGGTTGCAACGCAATGACTTGTAGATAAGTAGAGCTGAGTAGATCTACTCTACACCGCGAAGACCGAAATCATGTCCTTTCATCAATACCCGTTGTGCCTGTCCCAGTTCCAACGCAGTACAGCTCCACTGTATTTGTGCGTGTGGTAATTTTTCCTCTCAGTATGTTGAGAACAAAATGCATCTCGGGACGTGATTTCTCTGGCCTCAGACACTCGTCTACAATTTCTTTGAGCTTTAAGGCCAGTTCCTCTCCAAATTCTTCAACAGAAATATCCTAAAAGAAAAATGCGAGAAGACTTTCACGGAGGATATCGCTTAAGAGTTTTTTGTTAAACAACAAAGAATGAAAATTTATCATACATTTTAGACACTATAATTCACAGCTATTATTCAGTGTCCCGCTGTAGTAAATGACAATCTACTCCAGAAGAAAAAATTTTGAAAAACCATTCTAATTAAACTTTTTTACGGGCACACGATCTACTTTTGTTATAATTATTATTTTACAACTACAGTTAAAAGTTTTCTGGCTCTTTTCGTGGCCTGTAGTTACCGGAATGGTCGGATTCTCTCCCGCCATTTTCTTGTTGAACACCGTTTCATGCTGCAGAATGTTATCATACACCTCCTTACCACTCAGCACTTCTATCAGACACAAACCTGGCGGGTGAAAATTAAAACTGAGTTGACGGATAGGGAAAATGGTGATCCCATATTCCCACGGAATGGGAGACGCGGTAGCCTCATGGTTAGTGCACTCGACTCCGGATCGAGTGGCCCGGGTTCGAGCCCTGGGTGGGGTCACTGTGATGTGTTCTTAGGCAAGATACTTTACTCTCACAGGGCCTCTCTTCACCCAGGTGTATAAATGGGTATCGGCGAATCTAATGCTGGGGGGGGGGGGGGAGTAGAAATACTCCTAGTCGCTTAATGCTACGTAAACCGGATTTAAGCGCCAGCCCGATGGACCACTCGACTCGTGACCGGGCTTTATCTACCTTACCATATTCCCACGGAACCTTCATTAAAAACTTGCGATATATTTGAAGATCGACATCAACTCACACAAACCGGAACATGAGTTTTCGACTTGAAATAAGATCTCTTTATCAGTCTAAATAAGTCCTTTCTGTATAGTTAAAATGAGAAATAACGACTTCAAATAAGGACTACTTTCAAAAACTCATTCGTCTAACCGTTGTCCCTCATTCTAGCCTCGAAATCTCCTTTCCGTTTAGCTGGAACGGCACTAAATTTATCTTAAATTGCTTGACCTGGCTTCTTAATAAAATCTTGCGACTGATGCCTGTCTAATTGGATTCAAAGTAAAAGGTTTCAGATTTCCTGGGAATCTGGAAGATTCTAAACTGTACCATATGTAATAGAAATAGAGAGAATTATAACAGTGTGAGCAATCGTAATTTCGCCGAATTGTTTTTTTTCTTTTTAGGTTTTTCTATCATTCATACAAAAAGGCGATAAACATTCGGCTATCCGATTTTGGTGACAATAATTTGTCCTAGATAAATAACAAACAGGCAAACAAAACAATGAGAAAAACGACAAAGAAGTCACCGTTAGCAACATCAAGGTTTACCAAAACTGTGAACATCAGCTTCCGTAGCATCAGCTTTCGTAGCATCAGCTTTTTTGGAGTAACGTCCTCCAGTAGTGACCACTTCAGGCGCCATGTAACGATACGAGCCAATCTGGGTTTTTGTTTGACGGGTCCCTTCAGTTGCGCGAGGAAGACCAAAGTCTACGAATTTGAGTACTGTGTGGTCAGCTGACAGCTACGAAGAAATGGCATAAAGGACAGACCTCCTCAATCGAGCCACATTACGACGATTAAAATGAGATGTGCAAAATTACCTCCAACGAGATTGTAAGATGAGGTGGTGATATAAGATGGTAACGAGCAGGCAACAACATGAATTAAACCCTTCTTGTACCTCCATAAATATCATAATTCCACTTCTTAGTTGGTGCAGTCTATGATAAATACAGTGAAATTATCACACTTACAAAAATGTTTTCAGGTTTAACATCTCTATGCATGATATTGAGCGAGTGAAGATGCTCAATGGCAGAGCCAATATCCTCTATGAATCTGATAGTAAAATCTATCCCCTGTCCGGTTCCGTAGTATTTCTCCAGATAGGCTTTAAGATCTCCTGCCGCCATGAACTCCATCACAATTGCTAGCTGATTCGGGATAAAAATCCAGTCAAGGACTTTAACAAGTTTAGGGTGCTTTGCTTCCCTGAAGAAACAAATGAATGAGAGTGAGTGCTGTGAGATTTGTCATTTACTTGCTGGTGCTGCTTGCCAGCGATCACTACTGCGAGAAGAGCAGCAAAGTTTCAATTCAAAACTAAGTCACTCCCTCGCCCCCTCGCCCCCACCTCCAAAAGAAGACAGATGGATTCGAGGCTGCAGCAACATTGAAACCACTTTTTTTTTTTTCAGAACCAACTGACATAATCTATACGAGTAGTTTTAATAAGGTTACAAATCTGCTTAGGTTGAGGAGATAGAAGGGTTAAACTTGATATCCGTAAAACAGTGCTCGATACATATAGTAGAGCGAGTATAACGTTTGATAGGCAGAAAAAATCAACTACATTTCATCCCTACAGACCTGTTTCGTGGTTGCCCACTCATCTGGGGATTTTAATGATTTTAATTTAGTGATTTTAAAATACCCTGATGAATGGCCAACCACGAAACAAGTCTGTAGGGATGAAATGTAGTTGATTTTTTCTGCCTATCACACGTTAGGTTAAGGAGATATACCATTGCAATTTTAGTCAATTTGACCATCACTGATTGAGTTTACGTATTCGAGAGCTTTAAGGATGAACATTTTTTTATCATTAACGAATACGAAGATGCTTGGCAATTATATTTGATCTGAATTTATCTCTCCACACTGAGGCCAGATAGAAGAAGAAATTCGATACCTTTTGACCCTGATTGTGGCATGGCAAGGATGAGGTTGAGGTTCTAGTTCCAAAATAACGTAAAATGCTAACGTGTATGCTTTATAGAAATAGAATTCTACAAAAACCATCATTATGTTACCTCAGGGTGTCCACTTCCCGTTCAAAGTCCTCGATTTGTTTGCGGTTCTCGATGTTCTTCAGGATCTTTACGGCCACCTCATGACCGTCCTTCTTGGCCCTGAATACCTGGCCAAAGCTGCCCTCACCAAGTGGCTCTAAATAGCCTGGGTCCAGCTTACTGATCACTTTTTGGCTTACCCGAGTCAATGTCTCCAACGCTTCCAAGTCTTTTTTCTGTCACGATAAAATCAGGCATAGAAGAAGAACAAGAAGATCAGTTCTCTCTTTGGCCAAAATGCAGACCTTCTACTGCATGCAGCCATCCAGCACTTTGCCAGCTGCAGGTTTCCCTGAAAGTTCTAGGTGGTGACTACAAAACTTGATTTAACTGCTCATGGTCTCTTGGTGGAGAGAGATGTCATGATGGTCGATAGTTAAAAACGTGAAGCTCATATTATGCGTGCACAATCAACCTCACAAATAATAGCAATTTAATTCAAAATCACATATTTTCTAGCATCTAAAAACGAAAAGAAACTGTACGTGCTTTGCCTCATTAGTATTAAAGTATTTCCATTGATCTTTAAAGATACACTGTTTCAATCAGTTTCAACGCTGCTTTTCAAAGGCCATGCATGTGTAACGTCAACACTGCCGAACAACTTGTCTAAACACTACTCAAGCACAACATTACACAAAACGAGGCAACATACTTCAATTGCATCAATATTGCATTTTTCTTTCATCTGTGCGTTTTCTCTCATGATAGCCGTGGCGAGTTTCAGAATGGAATCTTCGTTGTTCCATGCGTTTGAACGGCTTCTCTCGTACACCTTTGGTTTATTCAACACCTCATCCCCATTTATATTAATGAGTTGAGCGGCGAACTTCCTGTCTTCAGGGGACGAGGCTGTTTCAGCGTAGCAAATAGCTTCATCTGCTCCCCCTGTGCCATACAAGAAAGAGATGTGAAAATAAACGAACGATGACAAGTAACGAACGAACGAAAATTGTAAAGGTGCTGGTTTTCAACATGAATCATCATTTAACCTTAAACCTTCAAGAATCGATGCCGAGCTGCATTAAACTAAGAGCATTTAACTGATCATTACATATTTCCTGACTTGAGGGAAATAGCTTTCCCTTGAGCTGGTATCTGATTTGATTTTAATTAACATTATCAGAATCCCCATTCCTGTATTTATTATCTTTCAAGTTAATGCTTAAATGACATTTCAAATAACAAAAAACGAAGTATATCATCGTTTAGGACTCTGGTTCGGCAGTTCAGGCCTTATGAATAAACTAACCTTTAAGGCGGATGAGAGCAAACGTTTCCTTCTCGACTTCCTGCACTTGGTAAGTTTCCTCATCACCGACAATGAGAATTTCCAAGGAGCTGTTACTTCGCATGAACGACTTGCAAAGCAGAATGGCCTTTGCGTATTTACTAATAGAAATCTTACACTTTTGCAGGATTTTCTGCGTTTCCTCCTCAGACGGAGGGGGTATCTTCTCAATTTGCTTCCATCCTTCTATCTCTTTCTTCACTCCGTGGTAGAAGAACAAGGCAGTGACGCTGGTGTGTGATTCAGTTATAAGCTGTGATCATAGAAATGAGCCCTCTTTAGTCGACTTTCATCCTTTAAAGGCAGGATTGTATTACGACCATCACATCATTTACTCACCTTTATTAGATTGTCACGTCTTCCCTTCATTGCATCCAACGTCCGCTGGACCTTCTCCTCTGCGTACACACCTTCATATGAAATGAAAGCAGCATAGGTTCTTCAGGAAAATGAAAATGAATTGTGGAAAACGTCCCTATACTTTCTACCATACACTCCTTTTAAATTTCCATCGCTTCCCTCTCTTTGTCAGGTTACTATAGCTAGGTCTCTCTTTACCCCAGTCACAAATCCCATATTAACTAATTAACAAAGGCAAAAAAACTAGACCGACAACGGGCTTAAGTTTCAAAGTAGATAATAAGTACAGCTTAACTCTATTTTGAAATGGAAGTTAGTTCGCACCAACAAAACGGGACTTTACCAAAAGGATCTTTCGAGAATATATCTTGAAGGGCGGAACGTGAAATATTTTCAAAGTATTCGTCAGGCGACAAAGCGTTTGTGATATTAATTGTGTGAAATATTATCTCCGAGGCCATTTTCTCCAGTGCGAGCTGTTGTTTAAGATACTCTTCCCTCTGAGTCCGCAGGTAGGATCTTTCATATACCTTTAGAAAAGAAAGTGAGCTATCAATCCATACAGACACATAATTAAACTTTTTAACTGTAAAAGAGGTTTAATTTTAACAATCCGTAGGGTGCTGAACCGGAAGTTAGCAGCTTGTTAGGTATGGTCACGGGTCAATATCAGCTAGCTCTGCTGATAGGTGCGTCAGCCATCGTATTGACTAGCTGCCAATCCGATTGGTGCGCCGACGAATCGACGGCAGTTTCCCGCGTAAACACTCACTGTTTTCTCAGTTGGTCTTTCAAATACTAATATAATTAATTTGGATATATCAACAAAGTTGAAATGGTAAATTGGCCACCGTAACGATTACAAAAGCTGGCGTTTCGAGCGTTAGCCCTTCGTCGGAGCGTTAGCCATTCGCTCCGACGAAGGGCTAACGCTCGAAACGTCAGCTTTTGTAATCGTTACGGTGGCCAATTTACCATTTCAACTTTGTTGATATATCCAAATTAATTATATTAGTATTTGAAAGACCAACTGAGAAAACAGTGAGTGTTTACGCGGGAAACTGCCGTCGATTCGTCGGCGCACCAATCGGATTGGCAGCTAGTCAATACGATGGCTGACGCACCTATCAGCAGAGCTAGCTGATATTGACCCGTGACCATACCTAACAAGCTGCTAACTTCCGGTTCAGCACCCTACGGATTGTTAAAATTAAACCTCTTTTACAGTTAAAAAGTTTAATTATGTGTCTGTATGGATTGATAGCTCACTTTCTTTTCTAAAGGTATATGAAAGATCCTACCTGCGGACTCAGAGGGAAGAGTATCTTAAACAACAGCTCGCACTGGAGAAAATGGCCTCGGAGATAATATTTCACACAATTAATATCACAAACGCTTTGTCGCCTGACGAATACTTTGAAAATATTTCACGTTCCGCCCTTCAAGATATATTCTCGAAAGATCCTTTTGGTAAAGTCCCGTTTTGTTGGTGCGAACTAACTTCCATTTCAAAATAGAGTTAAGCTGTACTTATTATCTGNGTAATCAGGTAGCGGCAGTGCCAGGAGAAAAGCCACCGAAACAATTTTGCAACTGTTTGAAATCCAGAAGGGTTTTCAGAGCTGCATGGTTGAAACTCTACACAATATAAAATGTGACTACGGCACCTTAAGGTGGCAGATCCCTGATAACTTACCAACGGCCGCACGGTAAAACCACCGTCCCCAAGGCACTTGATGATCACATCTCTACGCAGGTCTGGCCAGGACTGGGAGAGACAAGAAATCTGAAATACAATATACAAACTCACTGAATAACCCGTCAAATGGCACCAAGTGAAACGAAAGCGAATTGGTTTCTCCCCTTCTCACTTTAAACGTTCCCTCTCTCTTCTTTGTGCCCTTTTTGGTCTAGGTTGAAATTAAACGGGAAATTAATGAGCAATTCCCCGGAAATTTATGGCAAGGAGAGTCCACCTTAAATGCTAGGATATGAGCCCGGCTGCAAATAACTCTCAAAGGTGAAAGCTCGTACACATTCTGAACCGAATTTTGTAAACCAACAGCATACTCGTTGGGAGCAAGGTAATCAAATACCGTCTGGGATATAAGGACTGTAGTATATTGCGCTACATAGCGTAATCACTGTGAGGACACTAACTGTTACTCAATCGCGTTGTCAAGATATTTTCCAAGTTAAAGCAAAATAACTAAGTATGAGTATGGAAATATACTATCTTGATCACTGAATGAAAGACAGTTGAATTAAAGCACTAATAGGAGTCACTTGACCTATGAATACTCTACAGGAACGAATAGAGAATCATTCGCTTCAGAGAAACTCCCAATGAATGGCTTAATAAGGAAAATCATAATATGGCTGCAAAATAAAATCAAAACTTTGGTTAGAACAGTTTGGAGCATAAGACCTCTCAAAGGTTTGACGCAGGAAAAAAATAACTTTGACGCAGATACATTTAAAGCGAAACGTCTTTCCATTTTACCAACCTGGTCCAATCGTAGTTTCTCGCCGCCATTCCCAGTCTTCCAGAGAAAGCGCTCTACCAACTCGTCCATATTGGTAGTGATGATGAGAGGAAACTTTCCGACATTCCGTAAAGCATTGTGAACACGTGACGGCGCCTGCTGAAGATCTCGTAGAAACTTTTCTTCGAGATCGATTAGTGCGTTCGTGCCTTTCTGCAAATTAAGGGACACCTGTTACTTTGTACCTTCGTATGGGCTGTAAAACAACAACCAAGAGTCTTCTGCTCTGTGCTTTCCGCTAACACCAAAGCCTGTATCAAGCAACATGCATATGTTGGTCAAAATCATACAAGGTAAGGAGAGGTTTGTGGTTATTCATCGTGGAAAACTCAATGGCAATGAAGTATCGTCGTTTCTGATGTACCATCGCGACGTTTTCGCTTTAAGAAGGCTGGCTTTACACCATTGAAACTTCGCGATCTTCATCGGAAATTCATTTGGAGAGAAATCAGAGGGTTAATACCTCACAAGAGATTATAAACTCTTGTACTCGTTAACAACATGTTGGCTGTTGAAACAGATTCAACCAAGCAAACTTGAGTTGCTCCATGTCCACGATGACGTATCGTAAATCAGTTCTTAGTTTTAAATAACTTAAGGTATAGTCTCTTTACGAGCCTAGTGGCCCATCAGGCTGGTGCTTAACTCCGGTTTCTAACAAACTTAAACTTGTTTTAATTAACTTAAAAGTCTCGTGCCAGTCTTGGTTAGTAGTTGCTAAGTTTTCAGTCGGATGTGCAAAACCTTCGTAAGGGACCGACCATTACATGTCTCAAGGGGGGGGGGGAGGGAGAATAGAGGATCATTTTGGTTGTGTCACGACACAATTTAACGAACGACCTTACGGGCGTCCGTACAAGGTGCTACTTTTAGCGTGCACGGTCAACTGTACCGCAGGCACGCCAACGCCACGGCTTTAGTCTTGTCCTGTGGGCGTTTGAGCACAACGCTTGCGCTACACTTGTACATAGCTGTGGAGACTGGGATCGAATTGAATTTACTTTATCCATAATAGGAGCTTTAGTTTAGTTGACGAGACGTGCGGGAAAAACAATGCCAGCTCCGCTTTTAGACTTGGCAAACTCTATGTATTATTCTTATCCCCCCCTGGCTGGCAGAAAATTGGTACCCAATTTATATATAGTGTCCCTTTTATACTCTGTCGGCAACAACTGATCCCCCCTCCGTTCCCCCTGAAAACCATGTGATTCCCTCCAAACTTCCCCACCCCTCCCCCCACAAT